CGGCGTCGGGAGCCGTCGGGACGAGCCGGGCGGCTGCTTGGGTGTCGCGTAGCCGGACTTCGTGCCTCGCCGGCGCGGGAGGGGGTGGCTGCCAGCCCCCCACCCTCCAGGTTCCGGGCGAGGGCGAAAGGAGAAGCCTCGATGGGGCGCGGGGGCGGCCTGTTTTCACACCTGACCGAGGGCGCGCTCGAAACCCAGCCAGGGAAACAGCCCCTCAGGCTAGCAAGGATCCCTGACCCTCGACCCCGCGGAGCACAAGGGCACGTCACATGCCTGCAAGTACCACCAAGCTGCCTGTTTCACCATGTAATCCTCACTCGCGCACGTCTTCTCCCCTCACGTTGTTTGCTCGCCTGCTTGCAAATAATTGCTGACGGGCTCATCAGACTCCAGCAGTATCACCCCTAGGAAAAAGAACATCCGTTCGTTTTTGGTGTGTGTGGACGCTGGTCAAAGAGAGGACACAGGTGATCGTTGCACACGCTGATACCGAGTGACCGAACAGACGGTCAAAGCACTTCCCCAGTGAGTTTGGCAAAGCAGAGAGCATGTTCCATTTGGAGCCACGCGTGCAGAGTTCGAGTCCCAGCTTCTGCCACGTGCTTATCTGGGCCTTAAAGTTGTCGCTGAACATATTTACCTCTTAGATTGCTTTATTCATGCCAGCTCTAATTACTGGATGTACAGATGATCAAAGATGAAACTAATTTGTATACTCAGAAGTACCATATATTTATATATTTTTTTAATAAAACAGATTCTGTGGCACTTACTAAGTGCTAGGCACTGCTTTAGGACCTTTACAAATAGCAATTGATTTAACCCGCATGACAGCCTTGTATGGTAGATACTATTGTTATCCCCATTTAAAGACAGTGGTACTGAGGCACCATCATCAGAGAAAATAAGTAGCTTCCCCTGGCTCGAGGTGGTCTTACTGCAGTGTCCTGCCTCTAAGAGCTACTGCTGGTTCTGTTGTTATAGAGTTGAGCAAAGCCAGTCGAATGGCCGGGCCTATGAAAAGAAACAAATAGGAAGAAAGCCTGACAGGAAGCTTGTTTCTGCTTCTCAAGTCGATTGTGTGCAGTGTATCAGCAGGTGGTGTTATACACAGTCACAGGTAAAGACCACCCTTCTTTTAGTGCTCCTGTGTTACTGGCAGCCCTGAGGTTAAGGATAACAGGCAATATGGTACTCACTCCACAGGTAATCTCTACATCAGTGGTGACACAACCCTGGTTTTTGTCCTTGCTATGTGCTGGCTAGGTGTGTGACTTTAGTCATTTAATAAATATAAATTGAGCTCCAGTGGAGGATGGGAAAAAACAGATAATGGAAGAGGTCTCATTAGGGAATGTGTGATAAGCTCTGATAAATCACGCAGATAGAGCAAGGAGGCCTTGGGTTCACATAATGGAAAGCTGGGGGGCAGTGGCTAGGAAAGATCTTTGTCAGAGAGATGACATGTGAGCTACACTTTGAAGAATGGATAGCAGCTGTGAGAACGGGAGGTCGGGGAGGAAGATGCATAAAAGTTTGTTAGAGAAAAAGAGAAAAGAATTCAAAGTGATTCTAAAGCTTCAAGCTTTGGTGCCAGGAATAAATAAGCTTGCAAAAGAAGCTAGTTTGAGTTGTAGGATTTGACTCTGAAAGTGCTTGTGAAGCACAGGGTGGCAACCTTCAGGAAATGCCTGAGAGAGCGGTGGAGCAGGAGTCCAGTGGTCAGCGAGGTCAGGGCTGGACAACCACTCATGTGAATGTTACTTGACGCAGTGGGAGTGGATGGGTTCTCCACACAGAGTGTGAAGATGTAAAACAGCAAGCAGGTGACTACAGTTTTAGAGGCTTCAGCTTTCTCGTGATCAGATGGATTGCCTAGGAAGAAGCACACGAGAACTCTGGGGTGATGGAAATGTTCTGCAATCTTAATTGAGTGTGAGTTGTGGATGGGTGTGCATGTCAGAACTCATTGGATATACACTTAACATCTGTGCATTTCACCTCACATAAGCAAGACTGCATCTGCTTTTTTTTTTTTTGAGTTGGAGTCTCACTCTGTTACCCAGACTGGAGTGCAGTGGCCGCTCCCAGCCACTGCAGCCTTGACCTGCTGGGCTCTGGCGATCCTTCCGCCTCAGCCTTCCAAGTAGCTGGAACTACAGGCACGCGCTACGACGCCCAGCTAATTTTTGCTTTATTATAGAGATGAGGTCTCGCCAAGTTCCCCAGGCGGGTCTCGAACCCCACGGGCTCAGGCAATCCACTCACCTCGGCCTCCCAAAACGCTGGGATTACAAGCTGAGGCACCGAGCCCTGCCACATCCGCTTTTTAAAAAACCAATCAGAGAAGGAGCAGGGTCAGAAGGATAGGACCCCATCATCCTGTTGCGTGCTGAGTCAAATCAGAAAGTCTTTGTTAAAGGCTCCTCGTGCTTGTTCCTGTGCTGGGTGGGCACACTGACTTCCAAGAGGCAGAGAGCATGGTCTTTAGCGGGAAGGAGCTTTCTATCAAACTGGGAAGAAGGGAAAGGAAGTCAGCCGTTAAGTAGAGAATCCTCCCAAGACACACACACACATACACACTTCAAGGGTTTTTATAAAGATTAAGTAAGCCAGGCTCGGTGGCTCAGCCTGTAATCCCAGCACTTTGGGAGGCCAAAGCGAGTGGATTGCCTGAGCCCGTGGGTTCAAGACCAGCCTAGGCAACTTGGTGAGACCTCGTCTCTACAATAAAATAAAATTTTGAAATAGCCAGGCGTGGTAGTGTACGTCTATAGTTCCCGCTACTTGGAAGGCTGAGGCGGAAGGATCGCTGGAGCCCAGAAGGTCAAGGCTGGGGTGGCTATGAGCGTTCGTGCCACCGCACGCCAGCCTGGGCGAAGGAGTGAGATTCCAACCCAAAAAAAAAAAAAGATTAAGTGAGATGATGAAGAAGGCTCTCTGAAAAGTATTTCTAAAAACTCTAAAACGGAAGTGTTCACTTCTTCACTCATAAACGTAAGGTAGGAGGACCTGTCTTTCATGGTTGTGCATACTTAATGAGATAATGTATCTAAAATGTCTGGACCTTAGTAAGTTTCAAATAAATGTAAGCATTCCCCCCCACTCAGTCTTAAGTAACAAGAGTCCAAATAAGTCAAAGACAGAAAACCTATCTTTATATTCGTCCTGATACCATTTATAATTTTGAAAAGTTAGGAACAATCTAACTGTCCAAGTGAAGAAGTTTGGTTAAGTAGCTTGTGATATACCTGAATGAAGAAAACTTTGCAGTCATTAGAAATGCATATTTATTAAAAAGAACTCTAAGGGCATAGCAACATGTTTAAAATAAACTGCATAGTGGAAGACGTGTAAATGATATTCTAAACTTCATGGGAAAATACAAACATTTAAAATTTTATGTCTGCCTACTATAAATGTGAGGTTTTGACGTCTTCATTTTTTTATTCTTTTTTTTTTTTTTTTTTTGAGACAGAGTCTTGATGTGTCACACGGCTAGAGTGCAGTACTGTGATCTTGGCTCACTGCAGCCTCCACCTCCTAAGCTCAAGAAGTCCTATTGCCTCAGCCTGCAAGGAGCTGAGACCGCAAGTGTGCATCACCACACCGGCTGTTTTTTTATTTTATTTTATTGTAGATACTGGGTTATGCCATGTTGCCCAGGATAGTCTTGAACTCTTGGCCTTAGGTGATTCCCCTTACCTTGGCCTTCCAAAGTGCTGGGATTATAAGCATAAGCCACCGCACCCAGCCATTTTTTTTTTGAGTTGGAGTCTCACTCTGTTACCCAGACTGGAGTGCAGTGGCATGTTCCCAGCCACCTCAGCTTTGACCTGCTGTGCCCCGGCGGTCCTTCCGCCTCAGCCTTCCAAGTTGCTGGAACTACAGGCGTGCGCTACCACACCCAGCTGCTTTTTGATTTATTGTAGAGACGAAGTCTCACCAAGTTGCCCAGGTGGGTCTCGAACCCACAGGCTCAGACAGTCCGCTCGCCTCAGCCTTCTAAAGTGCTGGGATTACAGGCTGAGCTACTGAGCCTGGCCAATATCTTTTATTTTTAAAGTTTCTAGAACTAGCATGCATTATTTAAAAACAAACTATTTTAATCGCCTTGGAATTATCAGTAAAAACTTATGACAGAACTCTTAAAGGAAAAGCAAACAAGTCCGTGTAACCATTCATTAAGATTAAACCTGAGGATGTCTTAAAGGAACAGCGTTAAAATGGTATTTTATTCTGTTTGGATCTGTTTATTTCTCCATTGTACGACTGTTGAACATCTGTTCAGTGCCATCATTGTCCTGGGGGATATGGATACAAAGGTCATATCTGTATGGATGTGTTTTCTCAAGGAGTTCAGTCTGTTGGAAAGTCAGAACAGGGTGATCGTTGTGCCAAAACACGGTAGTCCCCGTGCTGGTGGTGTGGATGGGAAGCTTCAGGGCCTTCCCAAGAGCTGCCAGAGGTGAGTCTTCGCCTGTCCGTCCTGCTGGAGGACACTGAGGCATGCCCCGCTGCCTTGCAGCTGCCGTGCAGCAGTGGAGGTCGGCTGGCCGGACAGCGGTGTGGCTGCATGTGCCCATCCTCCAGAGCCAGCTCATCGCCCCAGCGGCGGCCCTGGGCTTCCGCTTCCACCATGCAGAGTCGGACTCGGCAACACTGACCCTGTGGCTGGCGGACGGACCCAGCAGACTCCCGGGCTATGCGACACACCAAGTGGGAGTTGCAGGTGAGTGAGGGGCCCACGGTGGCGGGATTCAGTGTGGGGGTTCCAGGTGGCTCATGCTTGGGGGGTGAGTTATCTTGAGTGCTAGAAGCCAGTGTCCTGGGGGACACCCCCACCTCTAGACTGTGTTGTCCAAAAGCAACAAGGAGACTCAGATCGGTAGAGTGAAGCAGCTTTTCTTAAGAATGCTCTTGCAAGAATGTGACCCTCAGAGGAGTAGGCACACTGCAGCAATTTCAGCCAGAGCATTTGAGCACTAAAATGCAAGTCCCTCCCTGTTTTCCCATAGGCTGGGTACTTCCAGAGGTTACATTGCTTTTCCGGATGTTGCCTACATGTCGTACATTGATTGGGTTGCCTGGTTAGTTCGTTTGCATGTCCTGTCTGTTAGTGGGTAACATAGGACTTTATTCACGTGCCCTACTTGCCGTTTGGCTTACAAGATTTTGTTCTAATTGGTTTCCATCGAAACTTAAATGAAAAAGCCCACCAAAAGAGAACAAGAAGCAGGAACTCAGCAAAAAAGCAGTTACGTACAACTTACAGCTTACTGTGAAAACAAATCATTCTTACGCTGAGCACGGGATGCAGCCTCCCCCCTGTCCCAAGGGGATGTGACCAGGACCGCCATATGCCGGAGACCACAGAGCATCCAAACCCTATAGAGACCATCTTTTTTCCCCATACGTACATCCCTGCAATAAAGTTTAAGCTGTAAGGTAGGGGCAGTAAGATTGACAATAGCTAATAACGAGAAAGAACAATTATAGCAGTATGCTGTGACCAAAGTTATGTGAGTGTGGCTTTTCTCCCTCACTCTCTTTCACAAAATAGTCTTGTACTGTATTCACTCTTCTTTTCATGATGTGAGATGATGAAATGTGTATGTGATGAGGTGAAGTGAATGACAGGCATTGTTACCTGGGTGGAAAATTCCAGAAAAAACAATTCATAAGTTTTGCATGGCATGCAGTTGGGCATAGCATGATGGAAACTTGTGGTCCAGCCCTGTCCTGCTGGGCATGTGAACCACCCTGTGCCAGCACACCCACGCCAACATGGCGCCCACACTCAGCTCTCCTCTAGGGTCAGCTGTCATGCTGTCAGTGCCTGTCCTCAGGTTATTGAAACTACAGAAAGCAGAGCTGGGCAAGGGACCACGGTCTTGCTGGGACTGTTACATGGTGATTTTGAACAGATCAAGCTTGCCTTTCGAGTCAGCAAAGGGCAGCACAGAGAACAAGTTCCCTGTGTAGTTTGCCAAAGGACGTGTTTGAACATGTTTTACACTGACCATGAAACTTCGCTACTCAAAGGGTAGCAATGGATTGAGATCAGGGAATAATCCATTAGCGTAAAACATGTTAGCACTAATTATGTGAATTTGTAAAGTGAAAGGTAACTTTCATGCTGAATTTAAGGTAAAGCAAATCATTTTTCGTAAGTATCATAAAGACATTTACGTGTAAGTTATTGTACCAAGCAGTTTAAAACAGCGTAGTTCAAATAGTGGAAATTTGAAGTTGCTGCTTGGCTCCAAAGACATAGGAAAGTCAACAGAAAATTTCTTTCAGCTTAAGTCAGGAGTTCTCAAACTACAGTCGGCATAAGAATCATCTGAAACAGATTGCTGGACCCTGTCCCTTGAGTTTCTGATTCAGTAGGCATGGGGTTTTGCATAACTTCCTGGGCTTTGCTGCTGCTAGTCTCAGTACTACTCTTTAAGAACCAGACTTAAGGAAATTCTTAGCTTTCCAGAAAAGCTAGAAGGAGTCTGTTTGATCTTGGTACATGAAAGCAATAATACATACATAAATGAGTAACTTAATTAATACTTTCATTTGTCTCTAGGTAGTGTATAAGTTTCTGATACAGTTTGCACATATTTAGTCTTTTAAAGGAGTTGCTCAAGGATGCCCACTCATGTCTTCTCTGTCCACGGTCTTCCTCCCTTGTAGCAAGTTGAGACATTCAGAAACTTTCCGTTCATCTCTACTTCAAAAGAGCTTCTGCTCAGTTAATCTAGTGACATCCTTACATATCATTGGATCATAAAAGTGTCGTTCATTGGCACAGACCTTGAGAGTTTCCGGTGATTACTACAGAAGCAGCAATATGTGGCGTATAGTGTCCCAGGATGGACCTGCTTATATCTAAATTCTAAATTGTGCATGTAGTTTAGAGAACCAGATTCTGGGAATGGGAGATGTGGCGCTTGACTGGTCTTGAGGAATACCCAGGATTTGAAGTGGCTGCTGGGGTGGGGACAAGGTCATGTAAGAAATTGCTCTGGGAAGTGTAGTTTTAAATCGTGGGCATGTGTTATGTATGACAAAAGGCAGGTGTGGCTGAAATCGTGAGCCCTGGCTTGCTTTCATTCTCCACCCTCGCAAGCCGTTTCGCCTCCAGGCTCCTCTTCTGAGGTGCCCATCCAGGAGCTTTTGTCTGTCTCGTTCCTTCCAGCTGAGGTTTCTGCTCAAGCATCTCAGAAAGCCTCCTGGTCCTCCCTGCTGCCTAGGATAGAATCCTCCTGCACACCAGTCCCATCAGGCTGTGTCTCTTTATCCAGCTGTGTTTTTTTTTGCAGCACTGAAATTTACCACCTAAAGTACTTAATCTCCCGCACGATATTATAAACTCCCTGAAGGAAGCTACTTTATCTGTATCGTTCACCATTTCACCCTCAGGCTACAGGCAGTGTTGGGCTGAAGTGCCTACCCAGTCTTTCTTGAAGGAACAGGTGGCTGGATGGAAGTGTCAGCCCTCTGACAGGCAGCTGCAGTGTGGTGAGGGGTAGTGTTGCCAGTGAGAAGTATGCCTGCTTGGAATCCAGGCAGACGGGCTGTCCACCCCAGGTCTACCATCCAGGGCTCTGTGAAGTCAGGCACTCACAGGATGATTGTGACTTTTACCTGAAAAGATGTGCATGAAGCACTCAGCACATTGTCTGGCTGATCCTAACGGTATGAGAACCTCCACTTAATCCCGGATATCCTTGGATCTGTCCGACTGTTGCACTGTGGCCAGCAGAGGTCGTGCACATTGTGCTTCAGCAGGGCTGGTTTTGCTTTTGTGCTGCTGAGCTCCTGCTTGCGGGGATTCATGAGGGAAAACTTCGGCTTGAGTAATCACAAATCACTAAGACTTGAGACTACGTGCGCTCACATTTCTTTGGCATTCTATCCCTTCTAAAGTCCAGTTGGATCGTAGTCTATGTTTTTTAATAGAAGACAACAGGAAAGTTAATTACATCTCACTGGTTTCCTTCTTGCTTTAAAGGGCCAAAGTTGGTGTTTTCATTTCGGTTTCTTTTCCTTCCGTCACACATACTCCCTCTCTCTATATTATCTTGCATAACATCTGTCATCTCCTCATGTCTCTATAACTTACCTTTTATTAGTTTGGCACTACCCCACCCACATACCAGAATGTGAACTCCATAAGGATAGGGAGTTGGGTCTGTTTGGCTTCCCGCTGTATCCCTAGCACCTGGAAAAGTACCTGACACATAATAGGCTCTTGGTTTATATATGTGGCCTCTGTATACAAAATGCATAATAAAATATACACATAAGTAAATGATGTGTGGGATTCAATTAACATTGAATGTGGATGAATGCATAGAAAATATCTTTTTAGACATATCTTCCCACATTATGTAAATACAAATATGCTTAAATTATAGCATCTAAAGGAACCTAATAACAATAATCAAGGTGCCATTTGGATTTTTTACCCGAGATGGCCCAAAGGGAAGTATTTTTTAAGAGAAAGAAAATATACAATGGGTATATTGAATATATTGGATATACTGAATGAATGAACGAGAACTTAAAACATAGATAAAATAGTCTCTCAAAGCAGTACATTGATAGGCTTTGAAGTTGTGTGTATACATGGTGAGGAAGTTTTATCAGCTTCAGGGAGATCTCAGCTGCGTGTTGAGACATCTGGGATTTGACTTGTCAGGGGACACAGCCTGTGTCCTGCGCATAGTGATCCAGGAAAAGGAAATGAGAAGGAAGAAGCGAATTCGTTTGTCCCATAAGTATGCTTAAGCACGCTTTGGTCTGAATGTTTGTCTCCCCACAAATTTGAATGTCGAAACCCAATTCACAGTGTGATGGTATTGCAACATGGGGCTTTGGAAGGCGACCAGGTCGTGATGGTATTGCAACGTGGGGCTTTGGAAGGCGACCAGGTCGTGAAGGCACAGCCTTCCTGTGTGGGTGAGCACCTTCATAGGAGGGGCCACGGGAGCTAGTTTGCCCTGCCCTCTATGTGAGGACACAGCTAGAAGGGGCTGCCTCTGAGGAGGGGGCCTCACAGACTGAGCCTGCCGGCCCCTTGGTCTTGGATTTCCCAGCCTCCAGAACGGTGAATAGTAAAAGCTTGTTTTTTGTGGCTGCTCAGCTCATGGTATTTTGTTACCACAGCCTAAATGGATTAAGGCACGCGCTTAGAGTTGTCTGAACACGTAAGTAAATGCTATAAAAGGACAGAAAGACTAATTTATTTAGTAGTTCCTGTGTGCCATCAGGAATAGATGATCTAGAGAAGACGCTTGTGCAGATGATATCCTTTAGATTATCAGTATATTATTTTATTAGGCTATTGTACTCTAAATTGTTAAAACAGCACTGTAGTCCACGTTGTTAAAAGAAGCTGGACAGCTGGGCAATCCACTTCCTTGCTGTCGCGATTTTCCAAGTCTTCGTGGATGAGGTGGTGCAGGTTGAGCCATCCCAATCCAAAGTTCCAAAATCTGAAATGCTCCCAAAGCTGAAGCCTTCTGAGCACCATGATCAGATGCTTTCATGCTCAGGCATTATCAATAAAAGTGAAAGAAAATGATACCACAAGTCAAAAAATTCCACGCTTGACCTCATGTGATGGATCCCAGTCAAATGCAGTCAAAACTTGGCTTCATGCACAAAACTATTAAAAATATTTTGTAAAATTACCTTCAGTCTATGTGTATGAAGTGTGTATGAAACCTGAGTGAGTGACTTGGGTCCCATATCCAAGAGGTCTCATTATGCATATGCAAATATTCCAAGACTGAAAAAAAATCCTGAAATCCAAAGCACTTTTGGTCCCAAGCATTACAGATAAGGAATGCTCAACCTTCAAGTACAGGTAGGACTTTGATGACCACAGATAAATGTAGGAAGACTCCAGAGTGAATGAAATTAATATTTTGCTATTATCTTTTATTTTCCCCCAATAGGAGCTGTATTTGATGAAAGTACTAGAAAAATATTGGTTGTACAAGATCGAAATAAAGTAAGTTTTGCTTCTGTTTTATAAATTGCTTTCCAAATGTTCAGTTCTGGAGAAAAATGTAGAAATTTTGAAGTGCCTAAGAAAGATATTTTTCAAATCATTTCTAAGCAGTTATAGATCACTAAGATATTTATACAGGCCTTGAAATGTCAAGGAGACAGTATTGCTCACTGTCTACTGCTTTACAGGAAAATTATAAATACCTGTATTTAATTGGGAAGGCACCTCTGTTCTCACTCATCAAGATATTCTTCCATTCATTCAACATCCATTAAATTCCTACTCTGTGCCAGGTGCTGAAAGTACAGAGATGAGTAAGACAATATCCCTGATCCCTGCAGCTCAATATCTACTTGGAAAAGCAGTCATACAATAGATGGTAACAGTTAACTTTGCTGTAAGACGCTCCTAGAGACTTCTCATAAAAGGTGACATTTAAACTGGGTCTTGAAGCATGAGTAGGAGTTTACCAGACCCAAAAGAAAGCAAAGTGAGAAAACTACAACTGCATGTATAAAGGCACAAGAGTTCCAAAAGGGGCTGACATCGTTTGGAAATGATGGTCAAGAGTGTACTGTGGTCAGGAGTGCAGGGAGTGGTAGGATATTAGACTTGAGAGCCAAGTTAGGAACAGAATGTGAAGAGCCTTGCGGACCAAAATGAGAAGTCTGGGCAGCAGGAAGCAGCAAACATTTCGGAGAGCAGTGCCTTGGTTGCAGGCCGGATATTTTCATGCTCAGGTGTTACAAGTAAAAGTGAAGGAGAGCAATTAATATGTTACTTTCTGAGACGTCAGTAAGTATCAGCAGACAGAGTCAAATGTTTTTCCCCATGATTTATGTTTTTAGACTTCAAATGAGTATGTGCAGTGATAGCTGAAAGCAGGGTCATGCGTTTCTAGGACATGCCGTCTAAAGCACTCTCCTGGTTAGAAGTGACTTTTGAGGTGAGGCTCAAACCCAACTTTGTGGCCTCAGCAGAGCGTATGGCATGCATGCAGGTGCACTGTGCCCAGCCCTCTCTGTGTTTGAGTTGGAGCATATACATATGTAATGGGAATGACTGGAGTGCAGGAGGCACGACTAGGTGGGCTTAGACGACCTGAAAGCAGTGGCTGGTGAGAGATTCTGATGGTGATGGCCAAGGGATGAAGAGGACACGTGGACAAGATTAATAATAACATGCAAATTAAGCTGACAGCAATGTGCTGATCAAGAGGAAGTTTATAGAAACAGAACAGACTTGGGGGCCGGACTGACCAGAGTCACTCTGCCACTTTTACTTGGCAAGTCTCTGAGCCTCAGCTTCCTCATCTTCAAAATCTAGTGACAATACCTTCCTTAAAGAAAGGATAGATAAACTGTATTGTTTTTTCCACTGGATCCATACTTAGTACTTGGAATACACAAAAGTATAAAGCCAGAAATGTACAGCAATGTCAAGCTCTTACCTTGAGCACAATGTCAATGAATTATTCTCACATTTATATCAATTTATATCTATAGCAATATACAACAGAATGGTATGGACAGTGTTTGTCTTCTTTCTTTTCCTTTATTTGTACAACCAAAAGCTAAAAGACTTTTGGGGTTTTTGGGTAAGAATAAGGTGATTAATAAGATGTCTGCTTATAGAAATATCTAATGACTGAAATCAATGCAGAGTCTTGTTTAACCACCTAAGCATGTCCAATTCTCCCCTAAAGTTAACAGTGACATCTCTCTTCTTCTTTCCTTTTTTTTTTTTTCTTTTTTTTTTTTTTTGAGTTGGGGTCTCACTCTGTCTCCCAGGCTGGAGTGTAGTGGCATGCTCACAGCCACCATAACCTTGACCTACCTGCTGGGCTCAGACAATCCTTCTGCCTCAGCTTTCCAAGTAGCTGGAACTACAGGCCAACTAATTTTTTAGTTTATTGTAGAGATGAGGTCTTGCTAAGTTGTCCAGGCTGGTCTCAAACCCCTGGACTCAGGTAATCCTCTCGCCTCAACCTCCCAAAATGCTTGGATTATAGACTTGAGCCACCGCACCCAGCCTAGATCAAGATTTTAATGATTTAAAATTATTTATGTATCACATTATACACATATGATACAGACCGACTGAGGTATCTGTGAACTTTTTAGTTTGGGCTTCTTTTGTGAAGCCTAATGTGTTTATCTTCTGTGACCAGATATGGTTATTCAGCTGGTAGACAATAAATATTTAAATATCTTGCTTTTGGTAAATAAAAAGAAAATTACATTTTCTGATCATTTTGGAGCACCCTAGTTACCTAGTAGATCTGCCTCTCAGATGATGACCAGAGTGTGAAGGAATTGTATTATGCTAAGGAAATCTTGTGTTTCAGCTTCTTACAGCTAAATTTTAGGCACTTATTAGGTTTCTTTGTATGATTGTCTATACTATGCTTTGGCTTAATCTTTTTCGTAGTTGTTGAATTAAAAATAGAGATTTTATTGCCTCAAATTTTTATCAGATTTCAAATTATGATTGGCTACTTTGCATTTAGTCCTGTGGGGAAGTAACTTCCAGCTAAAAATAAAGGAAATAGCTAAAATTACAAAACATGGGGAAAAAAGTACATAAATTATGTCCTCAGTTGTAATTCGACGAAAACAACGAATATTTTGTGTATGGTGTAGATATTAGTCTATATTAGCCCTTTCTATTGTGTTCTTACAGTCTTTTGACTGTATTTCAGTTCACTCTGCCCTATAGTGAATTTAGGCATGATAATTTATTATAAAGATAATTGCAACATATGGATTCAGTCTCATGTGTTACTGCAGATGCTTATTTTTTGCTGAGATCTGTTGTACATTTGTGATTTTTCTATGTGTTAGTATTTTTTTTTTCCTGAATTGGAGTCTCACCCCATCGCCCAGGCTAGAGTGTAGTGGCACACTCACGGCCACCCCAGCGTCTACCTGCTGGGCTCCGGAGATCCTTCCGCCTCAGCCTTCCAAGGAGCCAGAACTATAGGCGTGCACTACCACGCCCAGCTAATTTTTTATTTATTGTAGAGACGAGGTCTTGCCAAGTTGCCCGATCTGGTCTCGAACCCACAGGCTTGGGCAATCCACTTACCTTGGCCTCCCAAAGTGCTGGGATGACAGGCTGAGCCACCGAGCCCAGCCTTATTAGTATACTTAACAGAATCTGGTTATGTATTTCTTTTCAAGTAGACCTAAGGGCTCACTGAAAGGTAAATTAAAGCCGGGCTCGGTGGCTCAGCCTGTAATCCCGCGCCTTTGGGAGGCTGAGGTAAGTGGATTGCCTGAGTCCACGGGTTCAAGACCCGCCTGGGCAGTGAGACCTCATCTCTACAATAAGTCAAAAAATCAGTCGGGCGTGGTAGCGCATGCCTGTAATTCCAGCTACTTGAAAGGCTGAGGCAGAAGGATCGCCGGAGCCCAGCAGGTCAAGGCTGCAGTGACCGGGAGCAGCCACTGCACTCCAGTCTGGGCGACAGAGTGAGACTCCAACTCAAAAAAAAAAAAAAAAAGAAGGGTAAATTAAGCTGAGTATTGTTTGTCAACAGTTATGTTGCTCCCATTATTGCACAGATTTAAGACATGGAACTGATATGCCATATGACTGGAAACTACGTTTGCATATGTTAGTTTCTTAAACTTTTTAGAGCCGGTCTATTCATTCAGTAGCTTTGATCAATTCCTGATTATTGTGATTACAGTTTATAATATTTCTCATATTCAATAAGGGAAAGTAGGTTAATAAAATAAAGATTATTAATACTCACTAAGCACGAGGATAAGGGACATAGCCAGAGGGGCCAGCCAGGTGATTCTGCAGAAGGAAGAAATGGATTCCTCTAGGAGCTGGGAACAGTAAGCTGTCAGTTAACAAGGAATGAGTTTTTAAAGTCATTCAGTATCTTGACCTGGGGGTGGGGGCTGGATTAATGCTATCCCCAACAGATACAAGGCTGTTGGGGGAGATGAAGAATTCTTAGAGGACATATCAGGTTGAGTGGACAGCAATATTGAAGTGGACGTGCAAGTATCTCTTCTCATTCCTCCTGGTAAGTCACTGAGTACCAAAAGAATTGCTGGGGGCCAATTTCTTGGTTCCCTGTGATACTAAGAGGGGGTGTGAGATGAAGCAGATTCATTTATAAATGTCTTTTTGACAACTTCCACCGTCATGACCCACAACGTTTTTTTTTTGTTGTTTTTTTGAGTTGGAGTCTCACTCTGTCGCCCAGACTGGAGTGCAGTGGCCACTCCCGGCCACCGCAGCCTCGACCTGCTGGGCTCCGGCGATCCTTCCGCCTCAGCCTTCCAAGTAGCTGGAATTACAGGCATGCGCTACCACACCTGGCTGATTTTTTTGATTTATTGTAGAGATGAGGTCTCGCTGCCCAGGCGGGTCTCAAACCCGCGGGCTCAGGCAATCCACTCACCTCAGCCTCCCAAAGGCGCAGGATTACAGGCTGAGCTACCGAGCCCGGCTCCACAACTCTTTAAAGTTCTAGGCAGTGGTTTTCATCCATAGGAGTGGCACCAGGAAGGTGTTGACTGATGCACTGAGTCCAGAGTTAACTACCTAGCCCCATTGGGCTCTCTAAGCAGCTTAGCAGGGGACTTTCCATGGCGTCCACACCACTGCAGTTCCAGCTGTTGTTTTCTACAGGTCATGTCCTGAAGCGTCTTGAAGTGATAAAGCACCATGCCATCACCAGAAGAGTAGATGTCTAACAAACATCACACAAGCCGGGCTCGGTGGCTCAGCCTGTAATCCCAGCACTTTGGGAGGCTGAGGTGAGTGGATCGCCTGAGACCTGCCTGGGCAGGCGAGACTTCGTCTCTACATTAAAATCAAAAAATTAGCCGAGCATGGTAGCGCGCACCTGTAATTCCAGCTACTCAGAAGGCTGAGGCAGAAGGATCGCCAGAGCCCAGCAGGTCGAGGCTGCGGTGGCCGGGACCGTGCCACTGCCCTCCAGCCTGGGTGACAGAGTGAGACTCCAGCTCAAAAAG